TGTGCCTACGGGCACATTTGAGAGTTTATGAGATCGTGGCGGGCACCAACCAATTAACAAAGCCAAATTTTCTTTTCTCTGGACAAATAAGATATGGACACCAAATAATACACAAAACAACACGACGTTTAATGATACAAGAAACCATGCAATCAAAAGTACAATTATTATTACTCAAGTGGGAAGTTAGTGTGATGTTTGGCGCTGCATTTCATCGACCAGTTTTTCAAATTTGGGAGTGCAGGATGATGTTTCTGCCCACAAACAATCGTCAAGATGGGTGTCAGTAAGTCGAGATCTGTGCTTTGATTTTATGATGTTCGTGGTTGAACGGCCTTCATTATTCAGTATAACCTCTTTCCGTAAGAACGCGGGCACCCAAAAAAAGCCTTGGCGGGCACTGCGTTGGGGACCACTGCCTTACATCAGTGTTTGAAGAGACTAATTTTTCTAAATGTGGAACTGCAGTAAACTCCCGATAATTTATAGAAACTAAATGAAAAATATTTAGTTGAAATGTGTGAGTTATTCGTGTGCATCCAGATTTAATAAACAATACAATAAAAGAGATAAATTGTACTGCATTCCTTTCAATGAGATGACTGAATGTATTAGATTCTACAATTTTAATACAATTTATGTATTCCAATGTTGATTTTGAAAGAAACTGGTTGTAGAAAATCTTCAGGTAGCGAATATGCCATATTTTACATTGAAAATTTGTCCAATGCTCCATGGAAATACGCAGAGCTCTTTGTAAAGGTGAACAACACAAATCAATTTAAAAAATAATTAATAATAATAACATACAAATGTCTTGGAGATTCATTTCTTCTCTTTTTATTGTTCTAACAATTTCTATTATTTTGATGTTAACCTTTTGCTTTGTAGGATCTGAGGTTTTCACAATGGTGAGTCTGAAGATCGCTATCTTCTGGGTTGTTGCGCTGTGCAGTCTGGTAGACGTTTACCAGCGGACCTCTGAAATGTCAGTAAACATCTACCAGACTGCATAGCACAACAATTCTGAAGACAGCATTCTTCAACCCTTTTTCTTCAATTATAATAATTGTACTCAAATAGATCTTTCCTGGCAATGGCTTTAATGACTTATACTAATACAATTTTAGTACTTGCATGAACAGATGTTGTTCCATCTTACCAGAAGGAAGGTTAAGTGTGGTAAAAAGTATTCAGCTGTTATTACTTAAATGGGATTGGTAATATTTATGGGTGTTCCTCAACTTATCTGTTTTTGAAAATGATCACTTGTACTTTCTTCTCGTAAACAATGTCCTTGAAGACACATAAATTGTTGCTGATAATCTGTGGAGCATGTCCACTGGAATAGCCGAGATCGCATTCCTGATACGGGTCTTCAGGTCATCAAGTCCGTTAACTGGTGTTCGGAACACATTGCTCTTGACATAACCCCACAGGAAAAAATCCATTGGTGTTATGTCTGGTGAACGTGGAGGCCAAGGCATTGGACCGTCTCTACTGATTCATCTTCCTGGAAATGTCCTAAGTACGCGCGTACCTGCAGACCCCAATGAGGTGGAGCACCATCTTCCAGAGTTTCACTGTAATCTGCCGCAAACCGCATGTGGCTAGCTCAATTTGTTTGCGCGCCACAATTTTTCAAAACCCTGAAGGGACTTTGTGGACAGACTGTATATTTGGGGTTTGCTGTGTATGAAGGCGGGACTTTGTGGACACACTGTATATTTGGGGTTCGCTGTGTATGAAGGATTAGGGATTTATTTTCAGTGTTGTTGAGTGAGTATATTACAGAGATTAGACTGCTGCCTCCCAAACTCATACCAATTTATAATTAATGAAAACCATAACATTGTCACTATCTCAGAAAATCTGGTGGCAAAAGGCCACAACTAAAAATTGTAGACTGAGATAAATGTTTTAACATTCACTTTCATGAAGCTATAGATGACGTGTTTAACCTAATTGTATTGTTTATTAGTTATGCTGTCATCTTTTGGCACATCTGAACTTCATGGCCTCAAAAATACCTGCACAGCAATGTTGAAATTCTTGCTTTATTATGCTTTACTGTGGTTTGCTTAACTTAATTCCTTGCTAAATGTCATTATAATATATTTGTTAAAACCTTTGTCAAGCTTAAGAGAGAAGAATGGGATGAAACAAATGAAAGTAAGCTATTAACAGGATGTCTAATTATTATGAAGATAGTGAGAAATCTGTTGTCACTGACTCAGTGGCTTTGTTAAACAAAGAAAACTTTCAGTTAAATACAGAAGGAATAATATATTGAATGTTCATACATTAAGCTGTGACATTTTTATTTGGAGAAAATTACTTCTTGGCCAAGTTAATGTGATATGTGAATATTAGAAAAAAAAGTCTAAAAATTGTTATAATTTGTAGGTCCTTTCCACTTATTGTCCTTGAATCGCGTCTTAAGTGCAGTCAGACTTTACGCGTGTCACGCTAGCATACTGCTAAACCATTAACCGCAGGTTGCGATTCAGCCAGCAGGTTAGCATTCCTATTGTATGGGAATTTAAATCAACTACTATGAAGTTGGACAATCAACTTCAAATGTTTTCTACTTTAGAATAATTTTTAACTTCAGAAGTGTAAACTTTATCCTCCACATGAATTATGGATGAGAACAAAACAAATAAATATAAAAGAGATTATAATTAAATTAGTATTTTAATAATATAATGTCTTCTTATGAAAGATTTCTAAAGTTTATTTTTAATTGTCAAAGTGTGACCTAACTGCTGGGTGCTGCCATAACTGTTATTTGGAATGAATCCTACTAATGGCTTAGACCAGTGGTCCCCAACCTTTTTGTGCCTACGGGCACATTTGAGAGTGTATGAGATCGTGGCAGGCACCAACAAATTAACAAAGCCAAATTTTCTTTTCTCTGGGCAAATAAGATATGGACACCAAATAATACACAACACAACACGACGTTTAATGATACAAGAAACCACGCAATCAAAAGTACAATTATTATTACTCAAGTGGGAAGTTAGTGTGATGTTTGGCGCTGCATTTCATCGGCCAGTTTTTCAAATTTGGGAGTGTAGGATGATGTTGCTGCTCGCAAACAATCGTCAAGATGGGCGTCAGTAAGTTGAGATGTGCGCTTTGATTTTATAATGTTTGTGTTGAACAGCCTCCATTATTCAGTATAACCTGTTTCCGTAACAACGCGGACACCCAAAAAAAGCCTTGGCGGGCGCCCGCGAGCACCGCGTTGGGGACCACTGGCTAAGACCAGTGTTTTACAAATTTTTTCCACCCACAGCACATGCTAATCTGTCACTTGATGACACTACAAAATTTAACCTCATGGAAAGGGGATATGGAACTATCCATGGTCATAAGTATGTTTATTTATGTGCTTACCCAAAAGGTATGGAGGAAAATGTTGAAAAACCATCAGTGATGAATCTGTGTGTGTGTCAGTGCCTACCTTTTTTATTTTAATTATATAAAAAATTTATTGATAAAATCGTCTCAGACAACAGGCCATGTTAGTTGTGGGCTTTGTCCACAACTAACATGGTTTGTTGCCCAAGTACATTTTATCGAATTTAGTCACCATGAATGCTTCAAATCTTATAAAAAGATTGTTGTCTTTTTCTAACTATAATATGTGAATCTGCAGTTTCTTATAAAAATTTGCAGATCACTGGCTCAGACACATATTAACAGAAGTATTTAAATTCATTTCTAAAGGGTTTTCATGACAGTAGATTACACTTAAAATTATTCGTTGTCG